GAGAAGCACTTGCTCTCACACAAACATGCACGCTGCGACTAAAATAAAGCTGAGCAACATAATGCTCTTTGTTTGTGTTCTAGGCGTCCGTGTTACGTACATGGGAGTAATCTCCTGAGTGATCCCTTTTATCCCTGAACTTTTGCGACCTGTGACAAGAGTTCTTTACTGCTGTGTCTGCCAACCACACTAAATAAATGATCCCTCGCTGAGAAACACAGAAACACAGTGGAACAGTGACTAACAGGAGGGATCTTTTTATCATGTCAGCTTGAACATTAAATGACTCTATTCTAACATTAACCAGATTTGGTGTTCTTTTTTTTCCCCTAGATAATCAGTTATAATGATTTCTTTAATGATGAATGATTTTGATGTCAAGACAATAAACGGAAAAAAGGTTGAACTTTAAATAGACACAGTTGACGTGAAAGACGTATTCATATAGTTTACTTAAGTAGCAATTTACAACGCTGTTAAAAGTAAAAGTAACACACAAAAATTTCAAAGTAATGGTAGAGACCAATCATAGGCAAAATGCACTCAAAGTACTAAAAATAAAAGTACTATTATGAAAGCAGAATGCCTTCACAGTATTGGATCATATTGTATTTAAAATCTTAATCTGCAATAATTTTTACATATACTGTATGTAGTGGGATAAAAGTACAATATTTCTCTGACATGTAGTAGAAATATTAAGTAAAATGGAATAATGAAGTCTCTATACATATATTATCATATAGTTAGTAGATATATATATATATAGAGAGAGAGAGAGAGAGAGAGAGAGAGAGAGAGATAGAGAGAGAGATTTTTGACTGAACATAGTTCCTTAGAAATACAAGAGGCCTGTGTTCATTTATAAATATCATTTGACGTGATATCTCATTTTAGGTGCTTTTCTGTGAATGTTTTCCCCCACACTATTGTGGGAGTGAGCTTGTTTTGTATCCTTGGCACTGGGTTACTCTCAGGCATGATGGGTACACAGTAGGATTAAAGGAGTGGAAGACTTCCAGATGTGTGGCTCCTTTTGTCTTGATGATTTTATGTTCGTCTGACATCTTGTCTAAAAATAAACACTATTTCATTTGTCAGTATTTCTTTACTATTAAAAATACAAAAAAAAAACTTAACGCTAATCCTTTTTTTGTAATTTAGGGCACAACTTAACAATGTTTTATCACCTGGATACTTAGTGACTTTTTCTCATTTTATGACAATTGCAAATAAACATGATATTGAACTTATGTTTCAGAGGTCCACCACAGAAGATGACAAATTTCTGTTTTTAGTCTCAGAGACCTCAGTTGTAAAACATGATTAAACACAATTAATCTGTTCTGCATCTGTGATTGATGTTGACAGAACTCTTGTACGTAGCACTACCTCAGAAAAAATCCCGAATACGTCTCTTTCTACAAAGAGGTGTTTCTGTTTTGTAGCCTATACCTTCATTGACATAAATGGGGTGGACAAAAAATATAAACTCCTGTCAGTATAACACAACACAATTCAACAGACCCACAAAGTACTTCCTCCAAAATAATCATACAGTTGAATGAACACCTCTCTAAAACACTTTCAACAAAATCTGAACATTATTACCTTTGTAAAGGAGGATTTATTGCAGGACTGTTATATAAGACTGGATCGTTTGATGATATGTGTACCTAATAAACTGCCAGTAGAGTGTACATGTTCACTCTTAGCCTCAATAAAACATAAAACATGACATATTTCCATATTTGGTGTAGTAACAATGCTTTATGTTATATCCACATTTTGTCACCCTCATCCGATGTGTAAGTACAGTTTGTGGCTGAGGTCACGACTTCTCTACTTTCCTACATGCTGAGTTTTAATAAGGTTGCAGGATGAAAACGAATCGGTTGATTTTGCTGTTGTTATCAATATTATTGGTGTTGTTTTTGAATATACAGCAGTGGGGTTTGTGGGACTGCAAATAAAATGAGGAAGTAAAGCCAATGTCCACAAAACACAAGAGTTTAACTTGAAATTGAAACAACTCTCTCCTTCCTGGGGCAACACTTATATCAAACCTGTGTGACTGGGGGTTATTATTCTTCATTAAGTGATCTGGCATCAGTTACAAAGAAGCCTAGCATGTAGCAATTACATCTGTCATGTCAGGCAATCATTTATCAAAGTATGTTAGACTAATTGCTTGATCACTAAATTTACTCCACACAATGGCATTTAGAGCCCTGTCCAAACATATTAGCGAATAACTAGACAGTTACTACAAACATAACATGTGACAGTTTGGTTTACAAAAGAAATCCTTCAGAAAGTCAGCTGCACCATTGCTGACTCAAAAATGTGTTTGTTGGTCTTACGGTCTGTTTAATTTTGCGATGTGCAGAGTGTCCTGAGAGGTTAAGTTCACGGTCAGAAACACACAAAGACGTCTGTTACTCACATTTTTCCCCCTGCTCAGCACTACTTCTTGAATGCGTCTCTATACGGGAAGTGTACATACAGTGTCTAACCACCCACCTGAACTCTTACAAGGGGTCGTTTGTGGTGTTGCCTCCTGTTGAGCAATAACCCTCCAGCTCTGTTGATTTACTCTTGTTCCCTGCACAGCAATCACCAAACGGCAGGCAGTAACTGTTTTCTGTTTTTAAGGTCAGACTGCATGAGTAAAGTTTGTATTTCCTGTCAACATAAAACATAATGACATACTATCTGTACTAGCACAGCATTTGATGTAACATGACATGGACATGGCAGTAAATTTTCTCAGGTTCATTGTTTAGGCCACGTACAATGGGGTCCAAAAGTTTGAGACCATTTGAATGGGAAAGTGGTCACAGGCTTTTGATCTCAACTGTATTTATTTATTGATTCTTATTTAAGATAATTATGATGAAATATGTACAGTCAAATATCAGTCATTTTCTGAATTCATGTTCTTATCAATGGTGGAAAAACTATTCAGATGTTTTATTTAAGGAAAAGTAACAATGTGCAAATACAAGTAAAAGTCCCGTATTTAAAATCCTAATACTACGTACAAAAGAGAATAAAATGTAAATACTTAAGTAAAGAACAATTACCATAAAATTGAGCAAATGTGCTTAGTCATATTCCACAACTTCCTTTCATAGCTTTTGTGTTCTTTTTCAAACATAACTGTTCCTGTTTATACTCTATTGAACAAGTTTGTTTTTCATAAGGACACAGGGTTAATATAGCAATACAGACATGTTGCCAATTTGTGATTTAAAATATTATGTTGACATGGAAGAGGAGAAGGGGAATTTTAAGTAAGAGAAGTCACATGTCTTCATACAGTGGAAATGTAATATTTGACAAAGTTTCTATAAAAGACCATGGACGGAGTGCACAGGAACGGGAACAGCTGTTAAGAAAAATCTCCAGCCTTGAAGACAAGGTTTGAAATGAAAGTCATCAGGGAAGAGAGGAGAAACAGACAAAGGTAGAGGATGGTATTCACCAAGAAAACACAATATCTGTCTCTCTTGTTGTAATACATCATAATATTACCTATTTGCAATGACGTGAAGTCTATCACTCTGGTACTATCACTGTACAATGTACATTTAATACTCACAGTATATACAGCAGAGAATAATAAGCTCGTAGTTCAGCTTCTATCTCAGACTTATCTAGGCCTATGTCTTTTACTGAATTCTGTTTCTTTCCTACCTCCTTGAGTGTTTTTTTTTTTTTATCTCCTCTGTTTTGTAATTTATGTGACTTACATGTAGGTGCTGTAACTCTGAAATTTCCCATCAGATCTAATAATGCACTCTATGGTATCTATCTGTCTATGAACAGAGAGGTAGTGATGGAGATGGGAGAAAATGTGCTTGGAAAATAGTGGCGACTCACTTTGATGGGGATGGGGATGGGGATGGTGTTTGCTGAATGATTATTACAGCCCATGGAGAATTAGAAGGACTATTTCAGCCCAAAATTGCCCAGATTCCTCAACAAATTAGTGGGGCTGTTGAGTCACTGTTCTGTAGGTATGATGATCGTTTCTCTTTTAATAATGAGTATAATTTAGAAAGAACTTTAATGGAGTTCTTCCAGATGTAGCTAACTAGATTTATGGATGGATTATGAAATAATGGGCACCCTTGGCCGAGATCCCTACCCCTTCTACGTAGGAGCAAAAGACCTAAAGTCATTTGCATTTAGTTTTGTGTCTCTTTGTAGTCAATTATTGTCTCTCTGTTTTTCTTTTTTTCTTTTCTTTTTTTTTTTGGTGTGTCATTTTAGTTGTTTGTGTCTTTGTAGTCATTTTGTTTAGCCTTGTTGTACTTTTGTGTACATTTGTGGTCATTGTGTCTGTGTCTTTGTGGTCATTTTACAACTCTTTGTGGTCATTTTACAACTCTTTGTGGTCCTTTTGCCAGCCCTTGTGATTGTTTTGTGTCTCTTTGGAGTCATTTTGAGTTTCTTTGTGGTTGTTTTGTGTCTCCTTGTGGTAATTTTGTATTTGCATCTCTTTGTTGTCATTTCATATCTCATTGCGGTCCTTTTCGACTCTGTTGTCATTTTGCAAATCTTTATCATCATTTGATGTCTCTTTGTAGTCATTTGCCAGACTTTCCACCTAATAATGTTAACAGTACAGAGGGTTCAAACAAGGCCCTCTGACCTGTTGGGCCCCTGAGCCAGGTAGGCACATTCAGTAATCCCTCCATGCCTAGATTCAGAAAACCACTTACAGACTTGATACAGTCCAGTTGCTGTACGGCTTTTTTTGTTTTGTTTTGTTTTTTGTGACGAAGAAGAAGAAGAAGAAGAAAAGGTAAGAGCTTGTTTGGAAAGATACCACCGTCCAACAGTAACTAGACATTACTATTGGACAGCAGCATATTATGATTATACACAGTATTTTGTGGCCCGCTGTCCATTCCGCTACAGTAGGTGGCGGTCTGTACATTTAACACTGGTTTGCGATCCGCCAATAAACACAGAGAAGAAGAAGGACGAATCGTTGTGGCTCTCTTCTGCTGAGCTGCCGGTGCTAACAACAAGTTTAGCTAGCAGTTGAATCGGGGGGCGTGAATTCTGCTGCTAACATTATTGTTCGGCTGTAGCTACAAGAAAGGTGAGCTATATTTCTTGAATACCTTAATCTGCTTGATTCCTCCCTTGTTTTGTATCATATAACTCTGGTTAGTGTGCGGGTCGGCTTGGAAGGTAATCTTTATTCTTCTTTATAACCGTGTCGTCGTGTTAGATGCTACATTTGCAAGCTGCCACATTGTGTGCTGGCTAGCATAGCTTTAATATTTGCATGGTGGACGGGGTAGTTGTGAATCCTGACTAAATGTGTGGCAGCTAAGTTAGACCCAAGTAATTACTGTATTTAATCATTTTGTACAATGGCGGAATTTACGTCTTAATCAAACCAATAGTCTTAAAAACAAGTTTTAACGATACCCGGGTCTCTGTTACGCACTAGCTAACGAAACCGAGCTATGTTACTTTTGGTTGCTAGCTTGCGTTAGCATGGGTGAGTGGAGCTAGTGCTGACAATTAAATAGCTTGGGAATCCCTAACGTTATACTCACTTTTCAGGTTATTAGGGACACCCTATTAAAATAATGCAGGCTAATACAACAGTCCAGCAATGAATCCTACCTTCATTAACGTTATACTGATCAGTTGTTAAAATGTTTAAATTGTTTTAGAGAGGTGTTAAGTGAACTGTATGGAATTTTTTGAAGCAGTTTGTGCTGTTGTTGAGCTGTTTTTTTTTTCCATTATACAGAGAGACATCTCTGTTTATTTTACTCTTTGATATAAATAGGTCTACAAAATACAAAAAAAACACCTTATGAGTTTAATGCAACACAGTTTAACAACTCAATAAACTACACGCTTTCAAAATGATCATCAAGTTAAATCAAAACCTCTCTGAAACGGCATCAATAAAAAGAACATTATAACCTTTATTAAGAAGGATTTAATGCAGAGCTACTACATTAGACTGCATGTATAATCAAGTCCCATTCAGCCATCTCTGCTTAAAGTAAATTTAAAGAGTGTCAGACCAGAGTCTGTAAACTTGAACAGCCTTCCTGCAGTTTGAGGAGGTTTCATAGTGCTCCAGATGTAAGACTAAACCAAAAAGATATTGCACTCTTCAGCAGGCTGCCAATGTACTGCCAAACAGCGATAAATGGGTTTTTCAAAATGGACCCAACAAGGTAATATTAAATGGTATAGTGCATTCATTGCACTAGAGCTCAGGTATGTGGCTATAACATTTTCTATCTTTCTTTTCTTTCAGGCCCATCTGATTGTAGGACTCTAACAGGAAGATATTTGCTGAAATGGGAGGTATAATAACTTGTTACTTCACAGAGTTACTGAAATAACCTTTCCCTGCAGCTCAAAACAGGTTTTCCCCCAATAAATGGTTTAGCTGAGGTAGTGAGACACCCAGATCTTTCCTTGATTTGTCTTGACTAATTAGTCTTGTGATAAATTCAGTGAAATGGCAGTTTTGCCCTTTCAACCCTTTCTTTGCAGCAAATGATTATTTTTCATTGATTAATCCACCCTTAGTCTCTCTTGATTAATTGTTTAGTTTAGAAGACATCAAAAAACATTCAATAGATAAACTGATTATAGATATAATAACAAGGTAGAATTGACTGTTTTTATATAATCCAGGCAATGGACCTCATCATATTGGTACACAACCTCTGTAAAGCCAGGGTTGTCATAAAGCAGTCCTGCTGAGCATTTTGTAACATTGCCAGCAATGGCGTTACTCAAACAGTAATAATAAAAGGAGGGCTACCTTGGTATAAACTATGGCTAAATATCTGACAGCTTACACAATTTTTTTCTCACTGTTTTTATTGTCATATTGCTCAATACAAATACATATCTTATACAAACCATAATTCATATGTTGATGTAGTGTAACCTGTGAAGTAGATGGCAGCACATAAGTCCCAAGCTATGAACTAGCTTGTAAAAACTTGAATCACTCGACACCAGAAAGGGAAAAAATTAGAGAAAGTAAATGTTTGGACATGTAGATTATTGCAGAAAGGATTATGCTGAATGAGTTAAATCCTGCATGGCCACATTTATTATATCCCATCATGTTAGTTTGTGTCTCTTCTTGTTTCAGACCCTGCTCTTCACAGAGACTGTCCCCTTGACTGCAAGGTTTATGTTGGAAATCTAGGAAACAATGGAAATAAGACAGAATTAGAAAGGGCTTTTGGGTACTATGGTCCTCTAAGAAGTGTTTGGGTTGCTAGGAATCCACCAGGTTTTGCTTTCGTAGAGTTTGAAGATCCCAGAGATGCATCTGATGCTGTGAGAGAACTGGATGGAAGGTAATTCCTTCAGCACATTTCTTAGTTCTTTTTTTAGTGCTTGTTTGGTTTTTGTTTTGACAATTGCTGTTTCCCACATGTGTGATGGCTTTTGTTTAGAACCATGTGTGGCTGTCGAGTGCGTGTTGAGTTATCCACTGGGGAAAAGCGCTCTAGAAGCCGTGGCCCTCCTCCATCCTGGAGTAGACGCCCTCGAGATGATTTTAGGCGACGTAGTCCTCCAGTCAGACGCAGGTATGTATTTCCCACGTGATTTTTGCCATTTTATTTAGTGGCAGTGTCGTGTAAAAACAGATTTGCATTCCTCACACAGTGTAAGCATTAGCTTTATGATTCCTTCAAAATATTAGTTCGCTTAGTAAAGCCGTTTAAATCTACCAACCACCCAAAAGGTAAATCTTTTATATCTTTAGATCTTTTAAAGCTTTGTCAAAAGGCCAATAAGGGAGTAAAGTTTCTGACTGGTCATTTCTATGGCCTATTGAAATAAAATGATTATTAAAAATGAACCTTCTCATTATTATTATTATTATCATTATTAATATTATTATTATTATTATTATTATTATTAGCACACATAGAATATGAGTTCATAAATAGATAATCTGTGGATCTGACTGCTTCAGGATTTGATATATTGATGTCAACCCTTTTCTTAATTTGTTTAACAATCTATTCCTACCTGATCCTCCTAACTGGAGTGATACTTTTTAAACAAAATTTCATTATTTCAGCATCATGAAGGGTCTTCTTTTTTCTTTTTCTTTTTCTTTTATTATCAGTGTCAATTTTGTTAAGTTTCAGAGCTGAGTCCAGTGGCAACTTATGTCAGCACTTGACTATTTATGAACTCTTAAAGCAGTATGCCTGTAAAACACCAAGCTCTACCAGAGTGATATTGCATTACGGGGACATCGTAAGAGGTTAGCGTTTCATCTTCCATCAAACATTTTATAGGCATTTTCTAGAACTACTTAACTGCAGGTGTAAATTTTGTTTTCTCTCTGAGTTCAGTTGCCATCTATTAATAAAACTGAACCCCGTTTCAGAGTCACCACCACGCTTCTCACCATCTGAGTCAGTCAACTAGTCTTCTTTCAGCATCATGTGACTGCTGACCAGCGAGCCCCAATCAGCTTGGCTGGTGTTGTCACATGACCCAGGCTCACCGCCAGTCGTCAGGTTCCACCAACCTTTTGGTTCCTGAGCATGCAGTTCTCAGCACCCTCCTCTTCTTCCTCCAACCTTAACCCAATCGACAGCGGTCCACTTCACATTATCAACCAATCAGCGTCTTTACTCTTTCTATTCTCCACACAACTACTGTATCAACGGGAACAGCCCTTGGCTTACATCCCTACCCATCTTCCCCCCCCAAAAAAGGCAGGGAAAATCTACAACTACCCCCTCCAACCAGCCACCAAGCAACTTCATATCTCCAACATTTGCATCATGTGGCAAATCCTCTCTGCAATTCGACCTCCCTCACCATCAGTCTGGCTTCCTTGCGTCATTTCTATGTTGTCCAAATCCCCCAAAATAGTAAGTTTCTTTTATCCTGCTCTTTGTAGTTTTTATGCTTAATCTAGCTTTCAACACTGCTTGACATTTTTCCATCAGCAGTTATATAATTTTGAGCAATTTCAGTGCAGAGCTGCAAAAATCTAAAGGTCAAAACTTGTGGTCAAGGAAATTTGCTGTCAATCTATAGTTTTCATTTGCAAAAATGAACTACTTTGATCGGATCATCACTGTAAGTTTATTTTCATGGCTCGACATTAAGCCATTATGAGTGATATCCATTAAAATAAATTGTACTTTGTTTTTGTTAAAGCTTGCCCCCTTTTCAACGAAAATACCCTTTCACTTTGAGCACACCAGGTTCATAATTAAAAAAAATATTTTCAATTTATTTGTTATCAAGGTTGTTCTGTAAAAGTAAAAACAATCAGTCACCATTGTTTCTGATCACGTCCATTGAAGAAGCAATTTACTTTTATCATGTATTTTGTACATAATTTTGCACAAACTGTGCCCCCAGCATTGTTTAAAACCAATTTTATAGTAGCATAGCAGTAGACAAATGATCTAAGAATATGTTTTTCCCAGTTGTCACAATTATCCGAGACAAGCCTTAATGTCGAGCCCTGATTTTGTTCTAGACTCTGAAATACGACTCCATGATTGGTGCTCATTAGCCAAAGTTTCCTTTTTAATGAGTTGATCTTGATGCGGTTCATGGATGCAGATGATCCTTCTATAAACAGACAAGGAACTACGTGTAGCCACGTTTCCACGTGTAACCCGTGTCTCTGTAGGGATCAAGAGTACCAAAGGTTTCATTAGTGATAGGAAGGGTGAAATTCTCTGTTGTAATTTTTTCTTTTATGTTTTTTAACTTCACCTACAACATAGATCACCAAGGAGGAGGAGCCTCAGTCGCAGTCGCAGCAGGTAAGCTTGTTAAAGCAGTTTTGATTGAAATTATGTCTGTGTTCATGATAAATGATAAAATTCATGTGATTTTGTTTGTGGGGTTTTTTTGTCCACCAGGTCTCTTTCAAGAGACAGACGTAGATATCGGTCTCTCTCCAGAGACAAGAATCGTAAGCGCTCAAGATCCTTCTCACAGTCAAGGAGGTACATTAGTATTATTATTATTATTTGTACTGACTATTATAATGTATTTTAAAACTTCATCTCACATTAATTCACTAATTCATGTATTTTACAGTCGTTCACGGTCTAACGAGAGGAAATGAAGACCTCAAAGGATGGTTTGTCTGCAGCATCCTGCTATGGTTTGACAATACAAATTTTTATAGTCATGTTTTTCTTTTTAGATTTTGTTTGCAAGCTCATGACATCTAAGGTCAGCTTGTTAAATGTGGTGTACTATTCTGTTGAATTAACAACAAAAGACTCGTTTTGTTTTGTTTTTTTTCCAACAATATTTTTTGCCTTCGAAATTACTGTTCACATGAAACGAATTTTATCTTACCCTGCATGTTCTGAAATTCAGTACTGGATTTAGTTTTACATCACCATCCTGTTATTTTTTTAACTGCTTAACTGAATTAAGGTATATGTAATGTTTTTATTTGTTTTTGTTTCCTCTTTATTATTCTTGGTTGACTCTTAAATTACTTTTGATGGGTTACTGTGATATGCATCACCAGTAGAAGGAGCATACTTTGTACCAGTGACAGAAAGCAGACTCAGCAAATGTTGTAAATACTGGTGCTGTTATTTGCAGGCTAGCCTTGAAGCCTAAAACATCTGTAATTCTGTTTTTTACCTATTTCAATTTTGCAAAAGAAGGCCTTTATTCAGCTTTGCTTGATTCTCTGAGCTCTGACAATTCGTGCTGGTGCAGTTAAACAACTTGTTCAATAAATGTTTTTCCAGTTGAAATTATTTCCCCTTTGCCCATTCTTTTTTATGTTGGAGATAGTTTCTTATACTGTTAGTGTAGAATTATTGGGAAAAAAAACTTGCCACGTATGATAATTCAAATGAGATTCTTGTCAAGTAAATAAAGCTTGACTCAATTCAGGAAGTGTATGTTGTTGCTGTTTGCTGGTGAAGGCTGCAAGTGCAGCCCACACAGGAAGCTGTCGGTCATAGATGCAGTATAGGAACACCTCCATGTGTGAAAATCTAACTGCCGTGTTGCTGGGGCAGATTACTTGACATTACAAAGCAACTCATGCAGGGAGACGAAAGGGGTGCCAGATTTGGTGGGTAAGCACATGTAACAATTTTGGGGTAAGCCTGAAAACTTTTATCTAATTTAGTTTTAAATACTAATCCATTTTGATTTTATTTTAATGTAATTGTTGGAGTTTAGACTTTTAAAGGGAACTGACTGAACAGTTTTCAGTTGAGAGGCTTTATAATACTGTGTTAAAAGTAAGTCTCAAAACTCATACATATTTTTGTGTGCTGTATGTGGCTTGTGGAATGAATTGTTTTGAGTGTTTAAAGTAGTTCATTAAGGCTTAAAGAGAAATTACTTTGTCACAGTTTTCTCTAGATTCAGTTGATATTATCTGATGTATAGTAGAATTGAATTTTGCTGACACATTGCATGACTAAATGTCTCATGCTTTAGGAAAGAAGATTAGAAATCATGTCTACTCAAAGATCAAAGAAAAAAAGACTTGGTTCACATCGCAGGGTAGCAAATCAAAATGAAACACCCAAGGTTGATGAGCTCCATGTCACGGACAGCATTTCTGTAGCACAACGCCAAATACCTGAAGAAAATGAGTCATTAAGCGTATTGCCTAATACTGACAGTTTACAACGTGAAACCCAACATCCACCTTCACCAGACCTTACATTAAACAGAAGAAAACTGGGGTCTAGACGAAAAAATAAAGGACAGCATGTAAAGGATTCAGCAACTGAATTATACCACGAACCTGGAGAGGAAGTTGAGGAAAACACCAAGGGTACTGAAGCCCAGTCTGAGAGGCAGGAAGAATTAGGTAATGTGAGTGTGCAGGATATGTCTGCAACACATGACAGCTCTTTGTATTCTGCCATTACGCCTGGCTATTCTTGTGAGGTGCAGAACCCTGCCGCAACAAACTGCTCAGACGATGTCCTGGAAATCTTAATTTCCCAGGGTAGAAATCAAAAAGCAGACCAAGATGAAAATGAGACTGACTGTGAAGTGAAGTCTTATTCTTGTAAACGAGTGGAAACCATGCTGGAAGTGACTGACAAATCAGGTATGCCTCAGAGTAAGGAAGTTACAGAAAATGTTGTTGGCGGCTCTGACTCAACTAGTTTAAGTGTACCTTCATGTCCCACTGTAGATCAGCAGTTAATTGCCCAATCAGATTCCAGGGAAATGCCAGAAGAACATCTCAGTGTGTACTGTGCAAAAGAAAAAGAAAACAGAGAAAGAGACAAAGATACAGACCTGTCGAGACAGGATGGAAATTTACAGGGCAACTATTTAATTAGTGAGTCACATGTAGAATCAGTAGTTCCAGGGTTTTCTACCACAGCAGAGATAACCATTGATAAAAATAGCCCAAGACAAGATACAGGACTTGAATGCGGTGTTGAGCAAGCAACATTTTCATTACCAACAGAGGAGTTGCCTGCAGATGAGAACCAAAATGAGCAATTCTCCCTTCCTTTGAACTCCCAAGCTCGGGACACTTCTGTCTGGATAGAAGAGCAAACCGACACCAATTTCAACCCAACTTTAAACAGAAGAAAACTGGGGTCTAGTCGGAGAAATAAAGGGCGACAGCATGTAAAGAATTCTATTGGTGAATCATATTATGAAACTAAAGAGGATATTGTTGAAAATGGGAGTAATGAGGCCTTTGAAACAACAGAAATGTCATCACTAATAGACACAGCAGTGCATGCAACATCACTGGAAACCATGCTGGAAGGAATGGACAAGTCTGACACTAGTGGTCAAAGTTCAACTTTACATCCATCTCCTTCAGATGATCAACGGCTGATTGACCAATCAAATGACAGGGAGATGCCACGTGAGGAAGTTCCCAGTGTGGATTCTGTAACGGATACAGAAAGAACAGAAAGAGAGGAGGACACAGACTTGTTAAGGCAGTGGGGAATTTTACAGTCACATGTGATATCAGACCATGTCAATGTGAATCAGCCAACAGAAATACAAAAAAATCATCTTATTGATTATTCGTCAGGCAGTGTAATAAATGATGCCACAGAAAATTCTGAAATCCATTTTGCAAACCTGACAGACCAAGCTGGAGTCAGTGACACATACCAGACTGTTGCAGAATCATACCAAAAACCTCAAGAGGAAGGTGTAGAAGATGTAGAAGATATTACAGGCAACAAAGCCCTCCAAATAACATCAGTAGCATTACAGTCAAGTCAGGAAGACAGAGAGCATGATATTATCATGTCTGTTACACATGATGATTCTTTGAATACAGAGTCTACATCTGACTATTCTTCTGAGGTTCAGAACCCAGCTACAACAACCTATCCAGAGGCTGACCTGGAAAGTTTAATGACTGAAAATGAAAATTTTCAAGAAATCCATGACGAAAGAGAGACTGGCTTTAAAGTGGAGTTGTCTGATAAATCATTGGAAGCCACACTGGAAGGACTGGACAGAGCTGACACTCTTCAGAGTGAAGAAGCCAATGACACTCATTCAGAAGATAATGTAACTGAAGTGCATGAACAGGACGTCAAGCCAACACAAATACAAAAAATGCATGAAAGTGATTACACCTTTGAAAGTGTGGTACATGATACTGCAGAATATTCTGATACCTGTTCTGGAAACCTGAGAGACCAAGATGAAGTCAGTGACACATACCAATTTGAGTTGCTTGTGGAAAGTATTGATGATCCTGCTCCCATGCAAGAAGTTTCAGATCCTGATGATAAACAGAATGAGCCTCCTACTAAAGAAAGCAATGTGGAGGTTTTAGACCAGATAGATGAAGATGATCATGTATATGATACTAAGAAACCACAGACGAGTGACAGAGAAAGAATAGACACTGCACTAGATCAGGCATATGACAATGAAGGCCAAGCAGAAGATGATATAAAAGCCACTGCTGAACAAACAGGTCATCAGGAGAAGGAAGGACTCCTCTCTGACATGGGAGAGAGTGAATCTTCTCTACAAACCCTGCAATCAGAAACAAATGCTCCTTTGAACACACAACTTCAGCACAATTATGTGAGAACAGATGAGCAAAATGACACCGACTTCAACCCCATTAGGAACAGAAGAAAAATGGGATCTAGTCGTAGAAATAAAGGACGACAGCATGTAAAGGGCTCTGGTGCTGAATCATACCACAAACCTACAGAGGATGTTGTTAGAAAATACAAGAGAATAACGAACCCTTTGAAACAACAAAAATGTCATTAACCATAGAGACAGCAGTCCAGGAAATATCAATGGAAACCATGTTGGAAGGAAAAGACACATTCGAGACATCTCAGACTGAAGAAGTTAGTGATAAAGTAAATGAAAATGCACATGTTAGCACCTCTGAGTTAACTAGTATTGGTTTATATTCAAGTCCTTCAGTAAATCAACAGATAACTGACCAGTCCAATGTGAGGGAGATGCCAGATGAGGAACTTCACAGTGTGTCTTCTGTAACAGATACAGAAAGTAAAGAAAGAGACAAGGACACAGACTTGTTAGGTCAAGCCAACAATTTGGTGAGTGACTCGCATTTAAAATCAGAGGGTATAGAGTCTTTGATCACACAAGACATATCCACAGAAAAAAGCAGCCACGGACAACGTACAGAACCTGAAGGCAGTGTTGAACAAGCAACCATTTCATCACCAAAAGAGAAGTTGTCTACAAATGAGGAACAAAATGAGCATTTCAGCTTATCTGAAGTCAGAGGAGCTCAGCACTCAGAGGATGCTGTAAAGAAAGTGCATGAAGAAGAGGAGGTTAAGCCAAGAGAAATGCAAGAAATCCATCTTATTGATTGTTCTTCTGAGAGTGTGATACAAGATGCCACAGATATATCTGAAATCTGTTCTGGAAACCCGCAAGACCAAGCTGAAGGCAGTGAAACGTACCAATCGGAGTTGCTTGTGAAAAGTATTGATGATCCTTCTCCCAAGAAGGAAGTTTCAGATCCTGATGATGAACAGGACGAATATTCTACAGAAGAAACTAATGTGGAGGTTTTAGACCAGATAGATGAAGATGATCATGTATATGATACTAAGAAACCACAGACGAGTGACAGAGAAAGAATAGACACTGCACTAGATCAGGCATATGACAATGAAGGCCGAGCAGAGGATGATATAAAAGCCACTGCTGAAGAAACAGGTCATCAGGAGAAGGAAGGACTCCTCTCTGACATGGATGAGAGTGAATCTTCTCTAAAAACCCTGCAATCAGAAACAAATGCTCCTTTGAACTCACAACTTCAGGACAATTATGTGAAAACAGACGAGCAAAATGACACCGACTTCAACCCCATTAGGAACAGAAGAAAAATGGGATCTAGTCGTAGAAATAAAGGACAACAGCATGTAAAGGGCTCTGGTGCTGAATCATACCACAAACCTACAGAGGAAGATGTAGAAGATATTACAGGCAACAAAGCCCTCCAAATAACAACATCAGTAGCATTCCACACAACAAGTCAGGAAGACAGAGAGCATGATATTATCATGTCTGTTACACATGATGATTCTTTGAATACAGAGTCTACATCTGACTATTCTTCTGAGGTTCAGAACCCAGCTACAACAACCTATCCAGAGGCTGACCTGGAAAGTTTAATGACTGAAAATGAAAATTTTCAAGAAATCCATGACGAAAGAGAGACTGGCTTTAAAGTGGAGTTGTCTGATAAATCATTGGAAGCCACACTGGAAGGACTGGACAGAGCTGACACTCTTCAGAGTGAAGAAGCCAATGACACTCATTCAGAAGATAATGTAACTGAAGTGCATGAACAGGACGTCAAGCCAACACAAATACAAAAAATGCATGAAAGTGATTACACCTTTGAAAGTGTGGTACATGATACTGCAGAATATTCTGATACCTGTTCTGGAAACCTGAGAGACCAAGATGAAGTCAGTGACACATACCAATTTGAGTTGCTTGTGGAAAGTATTGATGATCCTGCTCCCATGCAAGAACTTTCAGATCCTGATGATAAACAGGATGAGCCTCCTACAAAAGAATGCAATGTGGAGGTTTTAGACCAGATAGATGAAGATGATCATGTATATGATACTAAGAAACCACAGACTAGTGACAGAGAAAGAATAGACACTGCACTAGATCAGGTATATGACAGGGAAGGCCAAGCAGAGGATGATATAAAACCTTCTGCTGAACAAACAGGTCATCAGGAGAAGGAAGGACTCCTCTCTGACATGGAAGAGAGTGAATCTTCTCTACAAACCCTGCAATCAGAAACAGATGCTCCTTCGGATTCACAACCTCTGGACAATCCACTGAAAACAGACGAGCAGAATGACGCTGACTTCAACCCCATTAGGAACAGAAGAAAGCTGGGATCTAGTCGTAGAAATAAAGGACGACAGCATGTAAAGGGCTCTGGTGCTGAATCATACCACAAACCTACAGAGGTTGTTGTTAGAAATACAACAGATAACGAACCCCTTGAAACAACAAAAATGTCATTAACCATAGAGACAGCAGTCCAGGAAATATCAATTGAAACCATGCTGGAAGGAAAAGAGACATTCAACCTATCTCAGACTCTCGGTGTTGCGCAAGCAACCATTTCATCACCAAAAGAGGAGTTGTCTACAAATGAGGAACAAAATGAGCATTTCAGTTTATCTGAAGTCAGAGGAGCTCAGCACTCAGAGGATGCTGTGCATGAAGAAGAGGAGGTTAAGCTAACAGAAATGCAGAAAATGCATCAATTTGATTACTCCTCAATTAAGGAAAGCAAACCTTCTTTAGAATCTCTGCAATCAGAAATATGGTCTCCTTTGGAATCCCAACCTATGGACAATTCACAAAGCATCAAAGAAGAAACTCACTCAGGCTTCAAAACCACACGGAACAGAAGAAAACTAGGGTCAAGCAGAAGAAATAAAGGAAGACAGCATGTACCAGAGTCTGTTACTGAACCATACCCTGAAGAAGAAGTTGTAGAAAATACCTGGAGAAATGAAGCTTCTGAAACAGAAGAAATACCATCAGGAACAGGGACAATGTGGCAGGAAGAACTAAAAGAGCATACCTACAGCAGTACAATTGAGACAACAGACATTGCTTTAAGGTCAGACAAAAATGACTTTCTCAAATCCATTGAGGAAGTCAGTGAGGAGGAAAAGAAACACATTAAAGAGCCTGAGAATTTAACTCCGCTTACAGGATATGATACTGTTAAAATAGACTTGATACAATCTGAGGAAGCCTCAACAGAGAGAACAACAGATGTACAAGGGCCTGTACAAGTTGAAGAGAGAGAAGAATATGAAGATCCTGCAAATAAAGACCGTGCAGCACAAGAAATAGATATTCCAAATGTAGTCACACATGCTGAACTTTTGTCTGCTGCACAAAATAAAACTGACACATGGGATCCATTTGACATTGGTCATGAGGAAAACCAAAGTGCAAATCCAGCTATGGATGTGTCTGAGGAAAGTGGAATTTCTACAGCTGGAGACGCATGTAACAGCCAGCAAGATATACAAGAAAAAGATAAAAGTCTTGTAGATAACAGTGAAAGTTTGCAAGGAAAAGTCAAACAGAAGAAAAGAAAGATGGGCTCTACTCGCAGGACCCAACTCAATAGAAAACAAGAGGGAGAAACAGACAACAAAGATGAAACAATTGAAAGAAACTTGGACATGGAAGTTGATGTCAGAAAACTTGACAGGATGGAGGTAGTGGAGGAGTTACCATTGATACCGACAACAGAGGAAAAGGAAAATACACAGCCATCATTGGGAACAGTGTATAAAGAACAACTGGAAACTAATGAAACTAGTTCTGTGCATGACAAGAGGCACTTGCAACAAAGCTCTGACCTGCAGACTGTAGAGAGCAATGTGAAACCAGGTACAGAGGATTTAATGGTTCTCCCTCCTGGGCAGTCTGCCTCTTACAATGAGGAAGTTGTTAATCCTGTTGCGTTTCTTCATGGAGCGTATGTAAGGGACAGTGAGGGAAATGTAGATGTTAGTGTGGAGCCACCACAACAAGATGATTTCACAAGCACTGAGATGCAAACAGCTTCTGTGGTCGCTGGAAGAAACAGACGCTCAATAGATCAGTTGCTGTCTTCAAATACTGAGGGCGCTATGAACACTGATTCTGATATCACACTGTATTCTTCTGAGACTGCACAAAGTACACAGAATGACCAAGCTTTGAAATTAACAGAAGTACCGAGTGTGGCTGTGGCAGATTTGGAAAAAGTAAAATCTGTGGTCAGGGGAGAAGCTGAAGAAGAGCATGAAAATGCCCAGGCAAGTGCACAAGAGCAAAACTATGTGAATGAAGGAGCTCACAACACAAGTCCACATTTCAGTTCAACCAACAGGAGAAGAAAATTGGGCTCCACACGCAGGAATCTTGGGTCACGCTCCAAAGGAGAAGACTTGCATCAAAAACAAGAGGTGGATAATGAAGCAACTGCCATAAATGTTGGGGATGTTTTGACTGAGGGTGTCTCAGGAATCGATGAAAAAGAGCTGCAAATTCACAATGAACACAAAGATGGTGACTCGGCACAAAGGAAAGAAAAAGTATTTGAAACAGTGGAGTACAGGCACACTGGTGAATCTCAGGTAAAACCTATAGCTCACCAGGCAGTTGAAGAAAATCCTGATTTTCTCAGCCAACTGGAAGAAACAGAGCATCAGCTAACTCCAGATCACCTCCCTGCAACACCATCCACTTCACCCAAACATGATGGAGGGAGAAGACGAAAAATGGGATCTCACCGGAAGTCACGTGGACATCAACACTTTGAAGACCAAACTGAAAGAGAGGGCAGGATAATAGATGCACAAAAAGTGAGAGATGAAAGTGCCACCAAGACAGCTGAAGGGCACACAGAAGAATCTTCGGGTCTGGACATAATATCAGAGGTAAGCAGCAAAGCAAAAAGATTTTATGTGTGTGGTTCGGTTGTTTTTGTTTCATAGTTAAAGTCTAGTTATAATCTTCATTTTCTATTTTGTCAGATTTGCTTGAACAGATGAACACATGTCAGAAATTATGTATGTATAGTTTCTGTGGCAAGTGAACTTCCTGGTCTTTCTGTTATTTCTTATTGGACATTTTTCTTTTGCAGATTTCCTTGATTAGAGTTTCTCTTTTGAAAGTTTTATTATACAAATTGTTGGCATTACACAGTGGCATTTGAAGAGTAAACAAAATCCCACACAGTTCAGCTTAACTGCACTTAATTTACTTCCCTCAGTCTGTTGTTCGTATCTATTATTGGTGGCAGTGGGAGTGTCCTTTCGCACAGTAAGTCTATAGTCTTCCTTTTTGCATGAAACCTCTTGCACACTGGTCAAGAGTTTGTTTCAAGAAGCACAAACTCACACAGTGAACCAAAATGAGGAACATGTGGTCCACACTACACGTTTCACATACTTAAAAGGAGAACATAAACATGTATCTGTTTCTTGATCTCTGTGCTGGTGTGTGCGTTGCACAAGCATGATACATTTGTACAAGTACCAGTCAAGAAGTTATGTGAAATGATCCAAAAGCAAATCATGCAAAGCTATACCTTAAACAGCATGTTTACTCTATATCAAAATGTTATTGAATTGATTCAAGATGAAATATGCAATCAGACTACAGCCTCCTTAACTCAATCATCTCATGAATGGGATTTTTTGTCTGCAGGTTGATGAATGTAACCAGAAATCATCATCCAGCATCTCAAAGGCAACAGAGCACACAAGGCCAAAGAGGTAAGTCCCACGCATTGACATTCAACAAAATGAAAATAAATACCTGCAACCTCCAAGGCTTGTCTAAATACGAAATACAATTTTCTCTTTTGGAAGACAATGAAAGCAACTTTTTCATCCATGTCAGATTTCAACCACACGCAAAATGATAGAACTTTAAATATTTTTTCCCCTTAAAATTACTTTTTCGTTCTCTCAAATTCAAACATAAACTCTTGGTTTTATTTTGTAAAGTTCTGCAGTTCTGGCGATGAATTGAAAATTGCAGCAGAATGTCATGTTACTAATTCGTGGTATGCTGTATATGCTGTATATTGTATTATATAACACTTGGTTGTCTGTTCCACAGTGAGAAGGCACCTAAATGGGTGAATCCAGTTCAATATCCCCAGGCTGAAATTCGCCTTGGTCAAGACAGTCAAAAGTTGTCTTTTGGTAAACAGAAAATTACTACTTACGCTCAGCTGATTGTAGACAGAGGCTTTATGTGTGACAAGTAAGTGTTTTTGTTTTTCTTTCAGCAGGAGCAGACATCAGATCAAAAAGCTACGATGTGTTGATGGTTGGAGACAGCAGTGTAGGCAAGACCTCCTTCATGAAAAGAGCTCAAAGTGGGAAGTTTTCTTTAGATTTACCTGCCTCTGTTGGTAAGATCCTGATCTTTATCCAATTATTTTCCCATAACTGTGGGTAAACATACAGAATAATCTTACATAAATGTATTTTGCAGGCCTTGATTCCTGCATGTGGACTGTGGTAGTGGATGGAAAGCCTGTGGTGCTCCAGTTATGGGATACAGCAGGTCAAGAAAGGTAAGTTTCCTGTTTGCTGTTACAGTGCATCATTGAGAATATCATAAGTGATACATTTGTGATCCCTGCATTTCATTAAGATATTTTAGGGTTTTATGATTCGATCAACGTTTTCCACCCTGAGAATACAGGTCATTTTGTGACATTTTATATCACAATCTTTTTAATTTAAGCCCATTTTTGTGGGAAAAGACACAGGCTGCCCAACAGCGATGTCCATTGTCCAAGTAAAAAAAAGAATTACATATATTTCACTCTTTTAATTGCAATATGATCTAAATGAAGATCTAAACTTATACAACATCCAGCATTGATAATAACTATTTTAGGTGTATTGGAGTGAGTCTGTCCCTGTTGAGGTAGATTTTGGACTCTGTAGGTAGACTCTTTTTTGGTATTGGGACCATGGTGGTGATCTTGAAGCACATAGGGGCGATTTATTTGCTCATGCTGATGTTAAAGATGTCTTCAGATGGAGTAGAAATTTCTGGCACAACTTCACCTACTTCCAGTGTGAATGGAGAAGGAAAGTATTACTTGTAGCATGAAGAAGTTGTTACAACAGCACATTTTGGCTGTCCATAATTCTGATGACCCTGATGACCGTTACAAGCTGAAAAGTGTCTGTGAGGACATCTGAAAGCTGCTCAGATCATTCCCTTATTCCTGCAGATACTCTTTCAGGTCCAGCAGCTTTATGTTGGTGGATAGAGTCCTCCTGATGTTTTCTGTGGGTAAGCACAGGGTTTAGTCGTTGGTAAGAGGGAAAGTCACAGGCTAGAAGTTAGGCATCACCTTCAAAAGTACAGGGTGTTATTTTGTGGTTTATGATGACCTAAATGCTCTGCCAAATGAACAATGTGTCTTTTTATTCCTGGAAGTGGCGGTGGATTGTCTGTATATAGATGTGCGTTGCTTCTCTGGTGGCTCAGGACAGGTTGTCTCTGACAGGCTGTCTCTGCCCTCAGGGCTTTCTTGTCACCCCGTCTAAAGGCAGCCCCCTGGGTTCTCAGCAGCGTGTATACCTCGGCAGTCAGCCAAGAATTCTGATGAGCCTATGTTACAATGCTGACAAAATCTTCTAAGCAGTTGTCATTGTATTCAGTGACAGACACTGTTGCAGCCTCCTGAACAGACAATGATAGATAATGTGCTCAAAATACCTTGAAGGTGTAGAGAAGTCTCTTTGAGGCTAGGTTGTAACCTGTTTCAGAACTGGTTTTGTACATTTCAACATTGTTTTGTTTGCTGGAATCAGCACAACACATGTCCCAACAGCAGAGGTTGGGGCCATGTGCATGGAGTATGTAGGTGTCAACATGTTCACTCCACATGTATACGTACAAGCTTTAGCAATATTTTTTGCAAACTAAACTAACCATTGTTATTAGATTACCAAAAACACACTTTCTACCTGAAGTTCACGAACCTGAGGGGAAGTAATTAAAAGGTGCTCGTTTTGTAAAGTTAATGCTTTCCCTCTAATTAAGATAGGATGTCAAATCTCTGTGTAGATTGTCTTTCATTATGTTCTTGTCTGTCTTCAAAGGTTTCACAGCATCACAAGACAGGTTTTTCATAAAGCCCAAGCATTTCTCTTGATGTATGACATCACTTCCTCTCAGAGCTTCACTGCAGTCAGCTACTGGGCAAACTGTATTCAGGTATGGTGCATTTAAAGCCTCAGTCCATGTGTGTACTGTTGAAATGTGAAATGTTCTCACCACTCTACAGGCTTTGTTCTGAGAATGTTTTTAACTGATGTCAGAATTACAGGTTTTTAGAGACCAGACATACTTTAATACTTACATACTTTTTTGCTACACTAAAAACCACTCAAGTGCTAATAGGGCTGGGCTCTGTTATAACACTTGCTTCCACTAAAATGCCCAGTTTGTCTATAGACAAAAGTGAGCTTTACTATACAGTTATTGTAATGAATATATAAATTATGCTGTATATATAAATTATACATTTCATTACAGCTTTGCTGAAACAGCATAGATGAACTAAAATGTTCCACAGAAACAAACAAATGTGCATGAACACAGGCTTGGGCATTTTACAGACAGCAGCAATACACCTGCACCCAATTTCATTTACCTCCTTATATATGTCTCTTTACTACTTTATAATAATAATAATAATAATAATGAGCAGAAGAAGAAGAAGAAAAGAATGATAATACACTTAATTTATGCAGCATTGTTCATATCAAAGTTATAAAATGCTATACATGGTTAACATTTTAAAATGGCTTATGCTGATGCTTATGTACTTTATCTACAAGTCAAAGTCCACAAGAACATAATATGGATATAGTGAACAACAATGACATATTTACAGTAGCAACAACTAATAAGAAACAGCCGAACCTGTCCATGAAGACAGATAAGACCCTATAAAAATGCCTGCATGGCAATCTAAACAATAATCAAACAAATCCATATTTTGCAGGAAGGGGCTGCAGAAGACGTGACCATTCTACTTCTGGGGAATAAGAGTGATCATGCAAAACGGCAGGTTAAAACTCAGGAAGGAGAAATTCTTGCTAAGGTATTGATCTTAGGCATTACACCCACTCACACTTCCAGTTCATTTAATGACAAGAGAAAATAAATCAATAGTTGTACTTATCGAACCCCAACACTAAAGACAGCTGTTCTACCTCCATAGGAGTACAACTTTCAATTCATGGAGTGTAGTGCTGCCACGGGTGAAAACGTGATTCAGTCATTGGAAACTGTTGCAAGGTAATAAAGGCTCACATCCTTCACTGATAATCTCTTTGTTTTGTGCCGTCTATCACACCGGTCTTTGTGCTGTTACGTCACATGCCGTGATATCAGCTGATTGTGGTGTTGTTGTTGTGTTGTTGCCAGGATGTTGAGACAAAAAGTTGACACAACAGAGGAAGCTGTGGTGTTACACCAAGAGCCCCCGCAGAAAAAAAGATCAGGATGTTGCTGAAAAGATGTGTTGGTCTAAGAAATCAGAAAAGTGGTGAAATCCTGCACACGACAGACATTCAGGACCTGCTCTTCAGAAAGTGTCTATGTATATCACAAACCATTCTTTTAATCCAATGTGTTGTATTAAGATTCACAGATATATTTAAGTTAAATTTCCTTTTTACATTGATCTTTAGCTTTATTATTATTTCTAACAAAGTGAGTTACATTATTGATTTGAAGGACAATATAAGATCAAGAAAATCTTGCACTTGCATAACACATACTGTTGAAGGCACATAGGCGACTCCAGGCTTTCTGAGAGGCTTGATGTATGCTTACTGTATACATTCATGTATATATATACATTATACAGCTGGTGCAGGCTTTCTCTAGTCAGTAACCATGGAAACAATTACATGGTGAATAATAGTTTTTTTTTTTATCTTGCAAGATGCTACTTTATATTGTTTTGCACTGTATGTTTTCTCATTTTAAATACATTTTCTTTCTTGCCATACTAGTGCAATTTCAAATGATCACATGACGTCAATATTTATAGAAGACTTTTTAAGATGCATTGATTAATTTCAATAAGAAATTAAACATTTAGTACTTCAGCACTTTCTTGGGTTCTTGGTTGAAAGATAAAGAGAATCTTCTATATTGTACAGCTATTGAATGTTTGTTCTACAATGTTTATACTTTATGGAAATGAAGTGTTCATTTTACTTACTCATGAAATAAATATGTGTTAAATAATTTGTATATGTGATAAAATTTCAGTCTTTGCTTAATTTTAACAGGCAAATTAGCTCAGAGGTTACAGGGCGTGGTAGCAATCAATATTAAAATATGCAACATGCCTGTGAACAAATGTAAATCTTTTCCTTTTTGTTGCTTTGTTTAGTATACAAAAATGTCAAAAATTATATTAAGTTTACTGTGATTTTGTGTTTACCATCTGTTCTAAATGAATTGCATTCTCATTGCAGTTGCCACACAGCTGCCAGGTTGGCCTGATAGTCATGAATAAATTTTACGCCTCTATAATTAAAGATAGCAGTAGTAAAATGATTAACTCTTTGAATATAAATGTCAATTTTTTTTATTTTTTTTCCCTGTAATTTGTGTCACTGAATACCTTTAATCAGATTGTTCTAATGTCATGTCTCATCCTTAATAAACCTCAAGAACAATGACTGGTGTGCTCTCCTACTTAATTTGTGTCCTCATGGAAGTTGTGCGTTTCCAGACTGACAAAGACAACAGTGTTCCCACTGGAACAACAAGTTCTTCAGTGGCATGAAGAGCATGACAACAATGGCGCCACTGGAATAACCTCATAACATCCCCAAAGGAGCTTTTGTGGGAAACAGAAACGCTGAGACAGCATCTTCCAACGTCATCAGACGACTGAGATGATTACACCAAATCTGATATTAGTGATTGGCACTGACCTCTCTGGTTACGTTTATAAACCAGGAGAATATTTCTCTTTCCCTCAGTTATTCAGATAATTCTGTTTTAGGCTGGAACATATAAACATTATAATTTTGTTAAAACATTAAACAACAGAAAACATGGTAATTACTTATTTCTGTAATCTGTAATTTCAGAATACTTCCCAAATAATTTCCTACAACATTTCCAATGTGGTTTACTCCTCTTTCCAGTCACACCCAAAGAGGCCAAAATTTCCTTTTGTGATATTTTTTTTTTTAACTTAGATATATCCTACCCAATAAAGACATTTTCACTATATCCTTGGTGCGGGTGTGCCTGAAGTAAGCCCAGAGGCTTCCCTTTGTCTACAATTTCTGGAAAGAACAATGTAGTTTGGTACCAACTGCAGAGAAAACAGAGACAGTGTTCAATTAGTAAACTTCCAAATTCTTCATTCCCATTCATTGCTGCTGTAACCTGGAGACTTAAATCAGCGGGAGAGCTTGCTGACAGCTGTGTGTAGATTTTCTTTGCTTTTTCATGACAACAGAGACTCAGTCACAACAGGGATCAGATGGTTCTTATTATACATGTGAATGGGATCAGTTCAGTTCATCTAAACGTTACCGCTGTCCTGGAGATGACTGGTTTAAAACTATAACAGACAAGTCATTGAAATGAAAGTAACTTTGACCTTTAGCCACTTGGGGGAGTATTTGTGCTGATAAAGCAGGTGAATCATCTCCTCTACAGACCAACCACTTTGTACATATGTACACATCCTGTTTGTACACGCTGAGTCAAGCTGAAGTGATCAAATAGTACCAGAATCAAAAGAAATGTTAAAGATTTCGGTCAAATTCTTTTTCAGTTTATTTCAAGATAAAAATAAACCACTTTCATATAAAGATTTGGTAAATATGTTAAAATTACCTGCACAACATACAACAATGGTGAAAGCACTGGAACATTTCCATGATAAACAGAAATTGTATCTGTAGATGGAGAGAAGTCTGCTTATTAAACAAATGCATAATGTAATGAATTGTGTCCAATCTGATACTAACGTTCTCTTTCAGAAATTGGGTCTCTGGTCTTTGAAATCACTTTGTCCAGCTGAGCTAAAATCAAAGTGATGCAGTATCCAGCCTCAATCTTTTTTTGCATCATTTTTGTGATCATCGACCAGAGTGGCTCGTATCAACTGCTGATGACAGCAGCAAGTCATTTAATTCCACCTGCTCCCACTGCTCCATCATTGGTTTCATTTTGTTGATGGGCTGGCGTATTCTCTTCCAGTGGCTGTAATCCTGGTGTCTTGGTCTGTGATTTGGAGTATTTTTTTTTTTTCATAGATGAATGGTATTGTTGGATGGCCTGCATGACATCAGAAACAGTCCAGTGGTGATGTGTCAGGGCATGCTGCAGTGTAAAGGGTCCATCTCTGGTCCGTCTCACTCCTTTACACACTGCATTGCTGCGCAGCTCAAGTCCTATCTCGTGCACAACTTTGCGCAAAAAATTCTGAGTTTCATTTAGGCACTGCACCTCTGTAAGTACATGAGAAAGAAAAAAGAAAGATCAGCATTTTTAAATTCAGAAAAGAGATGTTCAATGTGTTCAACTGAAGAATATTTACCTAAAGTGAAGTTGGGCGGTTGGAAGCGAATGCAACGCAGGCCTGTCAAAATAGGCTGCGATTTCCCCTCCGGACCCAGTAAACCCTTAACAGCCATCTCATAGGCTTCCTGTGAACGCATGTCAACATTGGAATACCTGTATAGAAAAAAAAACAAGTCATCTATATTGGGTGTATACTGCAAGAGGAATACAGACTAGTGATTATTATTATTATAACACTGTCAATATTATGTCAATGAGGAATCTAGTTAATGTGAAATGCAGCTGTCATACATTAACAAGGCCTTTTGATTGGCTCCCTGCAGCATGGCCAGCACTTTGTTCATCTTATCCTGTGTGATGTGATCTGTTGAACACAACAATATTTCAAGGTCGGACACAGTAAAATAAGATTAAAATATTGCCACAAAATAGTATATAATATGCACATGCACAAGTAGATGTACACTAGATAAAAAGACTGTGGGAAAAAGTGAGGTATCATACCATAGGTGGACCTTTCCACAACACGACCCGTGTGAGAGAAATCATCTGTTGCAGTCCCGAACTCCCCTTCCAATGTGTAATCCTGAAACATATCAAACAGCATTAAACCTGTTCTAGATTGTGCCATCATTTCATATTAATTTTATTTTTCAAATGAAACCAGTGGAAATCAAAAATTACCCTTGTGATTCGTGTTTTGTAGAGATCATTCAGGTACTTGTTTCCATTTCCAACTGCAAGAACTGAAGATTAAAAAAAAAAAGGAGTTAAAGGTTAAAAGTTAAAATAATACGACACTGACTGAAACAACATACACAACATTCATACCTAGAACACCAGAGGAAAAGGCGTCCAGGCGATGACCTACTCCCACTTGAATACGGTCGAATTCAGGTCCAGTTACTAAAACACAGAAAAACACGTTATTCACTCATATCTTCATGAATGTGCACAAACATGACAGCTGCATTTTGGTGTAATTCAGTCATTGCAGCTATTATCAAACTGCACTTCAAAGGTCAGTAATGAGCCATCAGACTGATCTGATCTTCTTTATTGTCTATTTTAAGTTAAACCAGTGGTTCCCAAACTGGAGGACCAACCCAGGGTGGCCGCCCATGACATGTAGAGTGAAACTAGGGTTGAATAAACCTTTTTCAGAGCAGATATTTTGACATGTACAAACAAACAATAGCCACAATTAACAATGTGCAAATAATCAGATTATTAATTATAGCATTTCAATAATTGCTAAACAAAGTTTTCATTAATGTTATCAGTTCTGACTGTTCTTTTGCTGCTATGACAGGTCAAAATCTCTGAAAAGAAAGCATTTTTATGCAGGTTTAATTTCAGTTTCACAACAGAACATAATAAAGGAGAATACATGAGGAAAAATACAGAATGCACTGGCAAGAAATGAGTGAACCCTTTGGAATTATATGCATTTATGTATAAATATGGTCAGATCTTCATTTAAGTTCCAATTATGAACAAACACAATCTATTGTGGTGTCACATGGCATGGACACTACAGAGGAAGCTGCTGGGGAAAATGAATTCCAAAGTTTATCAAGACATCTTACAGGATAATTTCCCTAAACATCAAAGTAAATCTTCCACAGAATGACTTCAAACTATGAAAATATGCCCTTTGGAGTGACACAGTCAGAGCCCAGACCTTAATCCAATACAGATTGTTGTGTTGTTAGTTGACCATATAAAAGCATGTGATTTTACACACACAAGACCAGTGTGATGATGTGTGTGAACAAAAAGCAAGGGTGAGACAGGAGAAAGGACACATACCCAGAGGATGTTTGGACAGAACAGGCACAGAAGCTACAGACAGAGTGAGTCCCTTGGGTGCTTCAGTATCACTTCCTGGATGTGCCAAGAAACGGACCTCTTGAGGACAAGGTTGGGACGGTGCAGCGTTTATACCTGGAAGGCCACACATACAGAGGTCAACAGGATATTAGGATTTGTTTTGACTGTAGGGTTAAAGGTAACGCTGCTGAGTGACTTATTAAATGTCTGTACATTAGCTGTAATATGCGTCCCTTTCACAGCAGATATAGACGTTTAATGGCAAGAGTTATGGATGTGTCATCCTCACCTTTAAGAAGATTTGTCTCGATGTTGTCCCGAACGAGTTTCCAGTGAACACCGGAGGGTTTGTACACACAAAACAGACCCTCTACCCTCCGAAACATGCGAACAGCTGGAGTTACCATTGTGTTACTAACGTCAGGTCATCCCGAATTATTGTAAAATATATATTAGGTTATTTTTTGGTCATATATTAGGCCAAGTCTTCTCAAGCAGGATTTATCTTTCCTCCTCTTGCGTGTACGCATGTGGCTGGCACTTTTTATAGTGATTTACGTTTTGACAGCTTCTGTCTGGCCATACCGCCGCCTGCTGTACTGGATGAATGAATGGCGTGAATAGGAAGAGAGGGTATGATGATGCTTAGCTACGGATTTGCTCAGCAGTCACCAGAAAAAATATTAAAGGGATTATGTGTTGTAAGAACTGTGTGAGGCAAAATATGGCTGATTATAATGTTTTTTAATTAGAGGAATGAGTTGCGATGGAGCTAAAACTCTAGAATACGATCACAGCTGCCAGTAAAACCCCAGAGAAGAAGAAAAGGGGAAGAAGACGAAGAAGAAGAAGAAGGCAGCTAACTGTAGCCCACTGTTTACAACCGGTGATATTCGTGAAGACTTGACTTCGGTAACGTTTTAACTAGTACAACTTTTGTAATAAGACGTGTTTATTGGAGTAGCTTTCTAACATAGCTTCCTATGCAAGAAGTACTGACAATTAGCTGATAGTACAAAATGAACGAGCGTAATGATAGTTAGCTAGCAGCAATTAAAAGTACAGATATTTTACACTGCTTTACACTGGTTCGGTACTTGGTGTTAGTCATAATTCGTCACCATGACGACGGTGACGAGTCCGGGTATGGGTTTATTATTGGTATACATTAAATAATATCAATAGTGTTATTATTAAATGTATGGGTAGATGGCGGTAGAGGCAAGGCTGGATTACCAATCACTCAAAATGGGCAACTGCCCAGGGTCCAGGTTGACTTTATATCATTTGGGTCCACACGATTTGATAAGTCTGTTTAAAATTTGCATTGCTTTTGTTTTATCAGAAAAATAGCAAATGTTAACATTGGGAAAGCTGGCACAAGTTAATGTTTTATGACAATGTTGTTCAAAATATTATAGAATCTTTCAGTTCTGTGGATGTCTACAGCTGGACATAAAGAACAAATGGAAAATTATTGCCCCACAAGAGGTTAATCCAGCTAAGGGTTGGGTTTAAATGGGTGTAAAAATGCATTTCATTCTACCCCATATCTAGCCTACATGCATACAAATTAAATATCCAATATGGTGTAAGTGGTTGTTACTCCATGGTGAAGTCATTTAAACTTGCCACAGAAGGACAAGCACAGATGTAAATACTAAGATTAATGATGGCTGAATTCCATTTAACTGCTTCAGTTTCAGGATCCTGGTACTGTGCACGCTGTCTCACTGCCTTGACTGGGACAGCTGAATAAAACAGCCAGCCTTAAAGCCGTTACAAATCCAAATCCATTGTCCATCCACACAGCTGTTTTCACTTAATCTGCCTGATTTTAAGGTTGCATGGCAACACCTGTTTTCAACCTCAGCAATGGTCTAATCAGAGAGAATAATTGAAAACACCTGTATTGGTGTGCAGGGCCTTTATGGTTTTTAATAGCAACACCTGTGCTTTTCCTACTATGAGCAGTTAAAATGTCTTCTGTTTAAAAGGTCTGTAAAGATAAACTATACCATCTATGGTTGGATTAACCCTCTAGTGGCCTCCTATTGGCCTTCTACTTGTGATACTTTGGAGAAACACACATGTATTTATTTTATATCCAGTCCTATTCATTAAATGACAACAAACCAAAAGACACTCAACAAAGTTTGATGTTAGTGTCCCCTAAAGGGTAGTTTCACACTTTTCCCAGTTTGCCATGAGAACAACACTCACTATTGACTACTCACTGTATGGGGGACTGTATGTAGAGGACTGTGTAATGTGTCTGATGGCAAAATCAGCTACCTAGTTCTTAAAACTTTTTCAAATTTGACTCTGCTATATTTGATTTAACAACGATTCTCACTAGATTTTCAGAACAAAGCTACAAAAAACACAATAGTGTAGTGGACTGGGAAAGTGAATAGTGGAGATAGAAAAAGCCTGGTGAGGGAACATTTACTAAACTGTTTTTCTGTGGTTTTGTTAAATATTAACCTGTCTTATGTTTGTGGTCTTACCTGTGCAGGTGTAATGCGAGCTCCCCTGAGGTGGGTGCTATGGGATGTGAAGGACACCCTGCTGAAGGTGCGTTTGTCTGTGGGAGAGCAGTACTGCATGGAGGCTGAACGAATGGGCTTGAGTCTCAATCCCCTGGAGGTCGACGCTGCTTTCCGCCATGTGTATCGAAATTATTCCCGCAGATACCCAAACTATGGCATCACACAAGGCCTAGGTGGACAGTCTTGGTGGATGGGGGTAGTGCGGGACACTTTCTCCCAGTGCAGGGTGCAAGATCCAGCCCTGCTAAATACAATGGCTCACAACCTTTATCATAATTTCTGCAATGCAGAGAACTGGGAGGTAAATAACAGATGGCATGATCCAGGAGGTTACATGCTAATGTAATTAGAAATAATAGATAAAAAGTAATAATAATAAATAATAATTTCAGGTTTGGGTGAACAAACTGACAGCAAAAGTTTTTATTTGCATTGTTTGAATCACTGTCATCATCAGAAGCCTGTTTGCTAAGGCAGGGCTATCAGAAACATATCTGCAGACATTGACAGAAAATATCAACTTATTTTGAGTAATGTGCTTTTGTTTTAGGTATTTCCAGACTCAAAGAAGGCCCTGGAGAGTTGTTCTTCTCTAGGACTGAAGCTGGGTGTGGTTTCCAACTTTGACAGCCGCTTAGAAACTATTTTATGTGTTTGTGGCCTGCTGACTCACTTCAGTTTTTTGATAACATCAGAGGAGGCAGGTGTTGCAAAGCCCAATCCAGTCATCTTTGATCAGGCACTGCAGAAATGTGGTGTACCAGCTGCCAGTGTAGCTCATATTGGGGACCACTATGTGAATGATTACCTCACCCCTCGGTCTGTGGGAATCCACGGGCTCCTATTAGACAGACACAGCAAGCATAACCAACCTGAGGTTCCTCGAGAGCATCGACTCAGCTCCCTGGAGGAACTGCCGTCATGGCTTCAGCAGCACAGGAACTAATGCCAAACAGTCATGGGCTCATGTGCAAAGGTACTCAGTCTCACTGTGGTGCAGTTTAAGACATAATGTAAGGGATGTAGCCATGTTCACCTGAGTAAACCCAACCAATTCATCACTCTTCGCATAACAGATTAAAATGCTCCTGATAGAAATGTACAGAGAAATCCAGAATAATATATAAACTGTATGTAATTTTCATGCATTTTTACTGTAAATAAAGTGGGAGCAATAAATATCCATTCATTGTACTGAGTCTGTCAAAGGAAACTGCCTCATTGCCGTTTTTCATCTGATGACAAAATTGGGGACAGATGCTTAGTCTACAGTAAATCTTCATGCATTAATGGAGACATATTTATAAAGCACTCTGCACCAAAAGCACAACAGGAAGGATCATAATGGCAACAACTCAATGTAAAACCCACTGAAAGAAATATAAAGGAAGGAAACCTTCATGATAACAAGAGTCCAACTGATAAATTAACATGGCTGGTATTAGCTCGTCACAGATGTATTGTTATCAGCGTACATACTGCCCGATGAGTGACAGGACATAGAGATAGATATGTGGGGAGGTCATTTAGTTTTTTCAACACAGAGCACTGAGTTTACTTGACCACAAATTGAAACTTAACCAAACATTGCATGCAGCATTCTAGAGGGAGTAGAGCTGCAATGATTATTCAAGTGATGGCATATCTTTTGCACTGTAGCTCAAACAAAACAAAACACTGAAAATGTCACCTTGGAATCTGTGAAACTGGAATGACCTTTTTTCACTATTTTCTGATGTTTTCTAGTGGTAACTCTAATCCACTAAATCGTTTTGGTCGCCACAGAATGTTTTAAGTTATTTTGTGGCTTTGTATGATTTTCTTTTATTTGTAAAGTATAAATACTAATATTTTAAACCAAAGATTAGAGATTGTCACCATTAGCGTTTAAAGGTAACACTGACAAATAATAATATAATAACTTTACCCAGGAGAACAGGGAAGCATGGAGACAGAATGGGTGCCAAACTCTATTTATAAAAATAAACTGAAATATAATTACCTTACATCCATGCCCTTACACTCTTAGGAGCAGCTACCAGTGCAAATTACATTCCTTTTTAGGTGAATTGGGTGACGTGACCTTTTAACTGAAGGTACAGAGCTTTCATCATTCCTAATGATTTGTTTCAGTGCTTAGCAGTTAGGAGAACATGGCAGGGTTGCTTAACCCTAATACCTTTGTAAATACTCTTATTTCAAACCATCTGGTCAGAGGCAGATAATGAGAATGTTGGGCTGAGTATCAAAAGGACCAGAGGAGGAAGCGGAGACAAAAAAAACAAAACAGAATGGCATTGCAATTCAAAGCAGAGCCCCAGCCTCTTATGTGGAATAGGGATTGACACTTGTCCAAATCAGATGTAAAGAATTCAAGAGACTTTCCTGATGTTCATAAAACTGCCTTCCACTTGAAAAAAAAATGTGAATCAACACTCAGTTTTGAATAAATCTTGATTTCCCTTTCCTTTGCCTTGTTTTCACTTGCTTTCATTTGGTTCCTCTTGCAATGCTTTGTATGTTAAAGGGTATTGTGTATCTTTAGGGAAGCGCCCACAAGAGCTGCTTAATTCAAAGCTGGTTTAGTAGCTCAGCCAGACGGCTCTAAAGGGCTCCACTGAAATCCAATTGCAGACATAATGGGATTGCAAAACAAAAAAACGAAGCTCCTCATGCAGAGAGCGAAAGGAAAGAGCAGAGGAGATCCAGCGATATGAGGGAAGACGTCAAACCAATGACATATAATGGAAATAATAAAACAAACAGGATGTTTGTGACACAGTCTTATTACAGTGAACTAATATTTTAACATGAATAGGTATAAATTCTGTGAACTCTAAATGACAAATAAATAAATAAGACTTAATGGCAATATAGAAGAGGACTGAAATATTTCCTTCAGCTATAAAAGCACTCAAGAGTTGGGCTCTTTGTTCAATTGTGCCTGAGGTTCAGGGTTTCATGTTGGCATTTCCGTCTTGAAGAGGAAAAATAGAAGAGCTGAGTGTCAGAAAATCAGGGTATTTGAAGAAAGAGAAAAAAGGAAAGAGCTTCAGAAGTGAAAAGAGGGTCACGCGATGAATCAAAAAACAGACTCAAGAGAGATGGAGAAATAATTAATAAGTGCATAAATAAAAAATACAGTGACACCAACACATACTTGCATTTTTAATTCTTCATTGGAAAACAAATGCAGATAATGGAGGTTTTCCAATTGTGACAACATAAATCTGACAGAGTAAAGGGTTAATCAACATTGGGATCCCCTTTTCAGATGATTTTGTATTGACACTATACATATACATATATACACAGAATATTTCTGTGTGTTTTTGATATTTACACATCAATGCTGTAATAAACATTAACACATATTATGAATGTAAATATCAGATACTGTAAACAAAGACAAGCATATCATCCCCTCACAGTCTTTTGGCATATAAATACCATCACATTCATTTTATAGTGGAACTTTTTTCTTCCTTTGTCTTATAACACAAAGCATGTACACACTTTATATCCATGTCAGTTTGTAATAATTATTTTTTTAATTCCTTCACCAATTATAATTCAATTTTCTTCAGAAAATCTTAAATATGTTTGTTTTTAAACTTCAGAGGTTTTTCTCACTTTAAAAGTTTTTGAATTCAAAGCAGAGGCAATGCTATAACACACTTGAAATAAACAAGTATTTTGTGTTGCTTCTTTAAAAATACAAGCCGTGATTTAAGTGCATGCATGCTTAAGAGGATGTGTACAAACCATGGGCCTCTTCCCGTCAGTGCTCATTGAGGCAAAGGTGGAAACACGTGTATTTGGCATCTCTCATTATGTGGACGCTTTTTCAAGTGACTACAACGTACAGTAAGTGCAGGGTTTTGTTTTTTTATGAACAGTGAGCAAGCTTGCAGAAAAGTGCAATTCTACCATAGTACCATAAAAACAATGTGGCCACCCAGGATGTGCATGTGTCAATACAGTTATAGCTTGCAAATCAAAAACCTCTGATGCATGAACATGTTCAAGTACAGCTCAGGAATAAAAAATAAAACTGACAGATATTTTCGCTTCAGTAGCAATACTGGAGTCATCAAATCATTTGAAATAACACCTGAATGATTTTTTTTTTTCCTCCAATGCATACGAAAACCATATTGAAACAATTTTCAGTTGCAACCTTTGTGCATAATTAATGATGGAAGTCCATGTATGTCCAGGGTTTTTAATCCATTAGCAGTCAGTCCAGTTACAATTCCTACTCCTGTCAGGTGAAGTGAGTTCCTTCTTTAAAAACAAACACTAAAATGTTTTTAAAGCATCAGTTTCCCCACCGTAATTTCTTTAAAACGTCCTCTGTGCTTGTAGAGTTCTGATGAAAAGTGTGCGAAGATATTAAAAGACAAAAATAGGAATTGGGGTCTTCTGACTTAAGTCAATGAATTATTGTTGTCCCGCAGCCCAAAATAAACACCTTTCCTACTCAACATCTGCGAAGGATGATTAATGGCCTCGTAGATCAGTTCACATGTCCTCTAGGCCAGCCATAAGCAGTAATCAGGACACACGGAGTTCTCCCTATGTAGGATTTGGCAGCAGCTTCAGAGCTTCAGACAGACTGTTGCAGTTCTGCGTGCGTTTCCACAGAATCAAACAGTGAAGAAAACACGTTCCTAGGTTGCTGCAGTCCAAAATTCCCAGTCAATGTAAAAAAAAAATGTCATGGAACATTTAACCACCCACATCAAGCAGGCCTACCTCACCCCACACTGCGGATAATGCTTCTTCGCCTCTGGCCAGGTCTGCTTGAGCAGAACATGTGAATACCACTTTGGATGCAATCCTGAGGGTTTGCGGACCAGACAGATGAGGAAAATTAAACACGCCATGATGCAAACAGCTCGTGTTCCATCAAGACGTCTTCTCAAACCACTGAAAGGGAAATAATGAGCAGGTAAGTTCTTTCCTGTAATGACTGCAAGAGCTTAAGAATAGGGTTGGGCACATTATAGGTTTTTCTTATTGACAAAAAATCCCATAAAAGAACCCCCAAAAAAGAATGGTCTAAACCTACTAACAAGTATTGGCTGATAGCGCTTATTTATCTGTGCTATAGAGCTCAACTGTTGTCCAAAAACTATTAAGAAAATGTTCAACCTTAACATGAATAAACTACAATGGCAACCACTGTAGTTTATTTTAAGTAGATCCAACATACGTCATGCTGCCATAAATACTCCCTAGTGTGCCAAATGTGTATTAATCCACTGCTGCAAGTAGTCCCCTACAAATAAACTCCTGTTTACTACTGCTTGAGTAACTACAGGTGTCCCGCAGGGAAGTATTTTTGTTGAAATTTAAACTACATACTTATGACCTCTTAACACTTATATTAAGAACAAACAGCTTGGCACCACAGACAGAGTTGGAAAGTTGGAAAGTATTGAGAAACAGACACATTGTTGATTTTTTTAGCTGAAATGTAGAGCTCTTTATTCTACCCATACATGTGTATACAGCATGCACTGGACTATCCACATTCATGCAATTCTTCACTGCTATCAACTGTTAGGCCTAAATTTCATTTATTGGTTATTTGCATCACCAGGAGCTGGTAGATAAAAACAAACATAACCTTAGAAATGCACAAAAAATAAAGAAAGAAAGAAAGGTACCGCTCTCAGATGGATAGCAAGATGCTATGTGCTTCTCCGGGACGTAGTGATGTGCGTGACTCCGCCTGCGACAGTCCTGCCTCCACCAGCAACTAAATAAGAAAAGACTTGAGTACTGAAAAACATTCTGGCATCAAGTTCATCACTTGATTCCTTCCATGAAAAATGTACCGGCCTCATATTGCTATGTCTGTTATCCTAGACACAGTTTGATATAAGAAGAAAATATAACAAAATGTGCTTATTACTTACTGTAAAAGTGTGCACAACACCATGATCAGAACACACCCAATAACACACAACACCAGCACTGTGGCAACGGTCTGTTGTCTGTGATTAGTTGCTACTACAGCGAGCAGGTCTGCATGCTCACACCTCATCCCGACGAAGCCTGGATGACACCTGAAATATGGAGTCAAATTAGTATAATAATAAAAACTGTGGCCAATGAGTTTAATATGTAGCTCAAATCAAAGTGTTTTTGGCCAACAGGTGAATACCAATACCTCCAGATGTTGATAACTAATCTGTGTATAATCATGTTGATGTCATGCACCTGAGAAATGCTAAAACTGCTACAATCTAAGAGCACATTTTTCCTGTAGATTTTAAAAATAAAAAGACCCACAGGTATGTGCAGTCCAGTGGAAAATAAAGTACTTATGATATGAAAACAGTCAGTACATTTTACATTTTCAGCTATATTAGGTGATTTTAAAGTTTATGCTTCCATTCCTAATGAACATCAGATTCAGAGAGAAAACTGAACAATGAATGTACAAAGGACAGAATTTAATATTGAGAGAAGTGTGGACTTACACACATGCAGGCGTCTCCTCTAATATCAGGAAGCGGCAGGTGCCGTGGAAGCAGAAATGGCGGTGGGAGTCTGGACAGTCGTCGAAATGAGACCGAACAGCTGCAGCCACGAACTCTGTGAAGATGTACCACGAGACATCGTTGACATTGTCAGAGAGACATTTATGTAAGAAAAGTTTGAAAGTTTAGGACCGTGTTTCTGCTTTTTCTCACACCCCTTGAAACCAGTGCAGAATTACATTTGTGAATTACAGAATTAAATTTAATTCAACTGCCCTTAGTCAGCGTACAGAACATGACACAGGTGAATATCATAAATCTAAAAATAGCCTTAATCTCGCAGAGACCTGAAACAACAACATGTTCTAAATCCTAAAGCTGACACCCACGCCACCAACGGTAGAATGAAGCCTTTTGTTCGCAGTTGCGTGTGGATGTGTGATGGCTTACATCTCTCATTGTACCTGGGAGGGGCAATTAGAGTCAAGAAAAGTCGAAGAAAACTCCCGGTGAGAGACGACAAACAAAAACCTCTGTCCATCAACCTACATTAGGACTCAGGAGAGCGCACATCCCTGCAGGAACCCTTCTTCTTTAGCAGAATTTAAGGCCTTTATTGTAGCTTACTTTTTTTTTTTTAAGCAACTATATTAGTTTTCACTCTAACAAACAAAATAGCAGACCAAAAATATCAGATTCAATGAACCAACCAGACAAACTGGGACATTTGTTTGTTTTTTTTTTTTTTTAAACACACAAGCTGTACAGTCAGACAAATTCCTACATAACTGACTCAAACAGACGTCAGTGTTCCACAAGCAGCCGAAACAGATGCCACAGTGTGGCATTCAGGGTGGGAAGAGCATGAACATCCAGACAGATAGCTGCACAACAGCCTTCGTCACACACTCCATTCCAAAGGTAAATGGGCTTTTGGATTGCAGCCTACATGTATTGTCTCCTTCTTTCAGACTCTGTGAAAGCCCTCTGTTGTCCCTGAGGCATCTGCCTACCAACCCCTCTCTCATTCCATGTGATTTTGGCAGTGGAATGAGAACATTGAGACAGAAACCAGCCTTTAGGGCGAGTAAGGTGCTTTTCACATAATAACCTAATACTGTAGGTGCAGCTTTTGTGAAACTGCTGAATATACTGCTCATAATCTTTAATTTACCACAACTGCTGCCCTCACTCACGCTAAGAGGATCAATTATCAGTGCGCGCCACACTGTCTGCATAATGTTGATGCACTGCAGCTCAGTGGGAAGCTTTACAGTGTTGAGAACTCCTGCTGTGGAAGCAACGCTGCAGTGAGAGTGTATCAAGGGCTGCAATGAGGACAATTGGCACATTTCATCTGAAATGCAGTGACAATGACCTTGAACTCTTCCCTGCATCTTGGCACAACTATACTAAAACTTACTTTTAACTGGGGGTATGCTAGTGGTAGTAGTTGCAATAGTTGTGGTAGTGGTACTTCTGCTGCTGACTGTTGCAGAGCTGCTTGTCGAGGTGTTTGGAGCTGCAGATGAATTTGTAGCGATGGAAATGCCAGCGTCAATAATTGTTGAATTGGTCTGCCCTGTTTCAAATGTAAAGAGGGAATCTGCACAGAGGAAAATAAAACAGCTGTTAACACATCATACAGTCTGATGTGTAGAATCATAGGAATAACTACAAATCCCTACAGTAGTATAATATCAGATAAAGAGCTCCTACTGTGGAAGGAGCACTACAGAGACAGAAGACATTTGGCTGGACAATGAGCTTGAACTGTTCCCTACATCTTCACCATCTTAATATGACTGTACTCAGACTTACTTTTAACCGTAGGGATGTCAGTTGTAGTCGTCGCGCTGCTGGTTGTTGCAGAGCTGCTTGTGGAGGTATTTGGAGCAGCCGTGGAGTTTGTATCAATGGAAATACGAGCTTCAATAATTGTTGAATTGCTCGGCCCTGCTCCAAATGTAAAGAGGGAACCTGCAGAGAGGAAAACAAACATCTGTTAGAATATGACACAGTCCTGTTGTGAAAAATTATAGGAAGAACAAAAAATCCCTGCAGGAATATAATAACAGAAATACCAAAAAGTTCACTGTAAACTCACCATTGAGTACCACAGACATACTAAAAGTACCTATAGGAATATAAAAAATATATATTACTGTATTGTGATTCCCCCGCCCACACCCCCACCCCCACCCCAAGACACCAGGATATGCCACATTAGAATATGTGACACCAGGTGTCACATATCCTACTATAAGATGAACAACCTGATGGTTAGACCCAGCAGATCTGCTGCTGTGCTGCTATGATCATGTGACCTGGTCTTCAATGTAATATCGATGCTTCATTGAGTAACTGGTACCCAACAATAGTAACAGGGTCAAGCATCCACTAAAAGGATGAAACCAAAGGCTCTATAAATACACAAGGTCCTGTGAAGACACGCAATCTCAACTAGATACTGATCCATCTGAAAAACACAGCCAGAGGAGTGTGAGGCAAAAAGGTTAATTGAAGCCAAAAGGAATTGAGAAATATAGTCATGTGTACCCTATTTTACCACCATAAAAACATATAGCACACAAATCCATCAAAATAATACACCCACTTTATATAAATTCATTGAGTAACTTACTAAAGGCATACTGTTTCCACCATAGAGGGAAAAAAACATTAAGCTCACTAAGGATAATGCAACCATAAAATCAATACAGAGTAGCACAGAGAAGTAGGAGTATTGTAGTGACCCATAGCAAGTCGTACTGTAATTTATTGAATTAATATTAAATAATATCTAATCATCAGTGAACAGTACTGAGGGGTGTCATCTCACATCCAACTGTATTAACTTTAATCTTTAATTTCTACATTCATCTAAACCTAAACTGACAAGTCAAGATCAGATTTACTCATTTTCCCTGCAATGGGATACTCACCGCTTATAAGAAAAATTGTATCCCAGAAAATCCGCGTCATCCTGACGATTTGAAGTCTAAACTGTAGAAACCTGAAGAGCAGCTTCAGTGAATTGCGGGCGTGTGTTAAGAAACCACATTAGTCATAAGTGTTGCAGACTCCAGGGCGAGCGGCAGCGAGCAGCAGCGACCATCAGCACAGAGAAATGCATTCAATCACACAGCAGGTCTGTAGACAAATGTGTGATCAACTGATAGTTGAGATGCTGTGGTACAAAAAAAAGTGACTTTACTCGTGTTTTCTTTCTTCTTTCCTCTTCTCCTGCAGGATGAGCGAGCGTCTAACTTCACTGTGTTCAATTGAGGAAACTCGTGTAATCCTGTCAGAGGCTGACCAATTAGAGGCATAGAGGGAGGGGGAGAAGGAGGCATCGTCTCATTATGACCTCAATATGACACTTCTTCTTTTTTCTTTTCTTTCTTCACTCATGCATTTGATTTAATCCTAAACAAAGTGTGTGTCCTGCTCCATGATCCTTTTTTTTTTTTTTAGCCATTTGCTGGACAAGTGAATTATTATCAATAATATATATTTAAATTAAAATGACATGTAAAATGTACAGGAGCGTACATAAGAGTCTATGAAACATCTAGAAAAAAAAGTATTTTAAATAAATAAATATTTTAAGATAAAGTTTCATTTCATGGAAATTAAATTACACTTTTTGTTTTACTTTTTTTCATTTAGCCTTTATTTGACATGTTAGTATTTTTATGTTGTAAAGATTGTGATTTCTAATTTTGAGCCTATATGAATAAAACTGAGTTAATGTCTTCTCCTGAAAACAGATTTATCAGATTCACTGGGTTCTAAAATTAACAAAAGTTCTTTTTTAAAGATTTTTTCTTGTTTGTTTGTTTTGCTTTAAAGCAGTCCGGCCTAAGAAAAGCTTTTCTGGTCCGTCTGTTCATTCATCTGTCAAACTGTTTGGTCCAGAATGAGATATCTTGACAAAAGTTGGCCAGATTCCCATGGAATTTGGTGTGGATATTCATGAGCTCCAAAGGACCATCTCAGTGCCACTCACTGCCACTGTGCCCCGTATCAGGTTCAGAAAAGCTGCCAAACTTTCCTGGAAAGTGTAGCAGTGAAGTGTTTCGGATACAATCAAGCCGTCCCCAAACTGACTGGGAAACTGTGCACTCTGTGTTTCCTTTACACTTCCTTTCAGCAGTAGTTGAAAATCATTTTCATCCCAATAATCCAAAATGTGTCTCTTATCTGTCGCTCCACTGATTTAAGAGAGGAAAATATCCCCTCTTGGTATATATTCAGATTAAACAGTTATTTACTTCATTTCCTTTTAAACACTCAGATGACAGTAATTTGTTGTTATTTTTCTGTAAAAATGAAAAAAAAAGTGTGAGGGTGGATGTGACTGAAATCATTTCACAGTCATCTGAAGCTCAAAATGCAACAGAAACTTCTTTTTGATCCTTTTAATAATGATGCACCCTCTTTAATAATATATGTAATCATACACCAATTCCTTTATTTCACCATCAAACTTTTATACTTCTGGTCACTGATCTGTTTCACACTGTGACCAGAAGTGGAAATAAAAGAACAGATTCACATGTTGTAGCAGCCTGCAACATTTCAAACCAGCACCATCTGCTGGACAAGAACAGTTACTTTGCTAAGAACACGTTTCCATGAAGCTTAATAATTATAGTAATAACAACAACAAATAACAACAAATACAAAAATTATTAAAAGAAAATGGTGTTGACCTTGAGTAGATGCAAGACTGGAGGTGAAGCAGGCCCCTAAAGCTTCAGATTCACTGCATTCCACTCGGCTTTGATCATTTGATTAACCGCAAATATGTTGAGGAATCTGCACAATTTTAGTACAATATCAACAAAAGCAGGTCCTGCATTATTGTCTATTAGCCCAGACTTAACATCTTAACTGTTCTAGTTTATGATGTGCATACATGGTGCATTTTCCTAAATTAAGTCATATTTAAACACATTACTATAAACTGATGTCACATGCACACAAACACACTGTACACAGTATGACAAACTGAATTAGAAACTCCAAAACCTACAGCTGTAGGGGCATTCATTATGACGAGATTGTAGCCGTACTGAAGAGTTCCTCCAGTGGCTGCGGAAGCAACCATTAGCACCAGTATCAGAGAGCCGCCCTGTTGATGGAAATAGACGGACAGACATCTTGGGGCCAGGTAGTATTACTCCAGCGTAGGAGTAGTACTGCTTGGTACATACATAATGCATAGTGGATGCTTGTTGTTAGGGTATGTGATATGCCAGTGGTGCCTGTACTTAAAGAACAGTATTTTTTAATGCATTTATTTATTTAAAAACTGTCTGTTGGACTAAAACATAAAAATGAAAAATGAACATTGGCATATATGAATTTGAATATCTCACATGAGAGATAAAGGTGCTTAAACGACGCACTTCATTGTTATTTTCATGAAATACACACTGATTGAGATCTAGAAGATAACAGTTGTATTTCATGAAAATAAACCTGAACCACAAGAGCAGTGTGCAGCTGATTTATTCATGTTTAAGATTTCCTTCATTTAGTTATTTATGAAGTGAAATCCCACGTGTCAGCGCCCACCTGCCTACCTGAACATTTACTCCCTCTGTAATAGATGGAAAACCTCACTAACCTGACTGCGCATGCGTTGTTGTTCTTAATTACTTACTGAAAACAGTACGTGTCATTGGTTTTTATCACACTCTTACCTCCAGTGTAGCGCAGAGCAGTTTCTCCCTCGTTAAATCATTGTTGTGGCAGGAGTCCTGGTAAGACATCAGCTCAATATTTGACCACTTGTGCGTAACCTGCTGATTGCGCAACTGCAGCCAATCATAAAAGGCCTAACTGCTTCTCACGCACGCTGCAGGCGCGTGTTCGAACTTGTGCTGTTGCGGATCGTCCGGAGGTGGGCTGGCCTGTGAGGCTCTCTGCTGTCGGACTTCATCAAGTCACTTTTTTTACCTTTTTACCACCACAATTCGATTAACAATGTCGCACTCGGGTGCTCAGAAGGTAAATTAGATGATTAAACCTTTCAATAAGTAATCTATCGTAGAGTTGAATTCCCTTGTTTGATTTGTTGACTCGGGTAGCATCATGCAGGAAATTCTTGAAGAAAATCTGAATCTGGTGACTGTGTAGTTCCTATAAGTTACACTGCCATTTGAAGATCTTTTGTTTTTTAATGTGATTTTACACGTGATCTTAGCAACAAAGCAGCTTTGAAGACCTATGCCCAACGACAAAATATGCAGACCAAATAGGCAATGTTTAGTGTGTCATGTTGTCATGTATTGCAGGTGCAACTGTCTCATTTGAAACAGACAATAGATTTACAGTAAACAAAGAAACAAGAAACAATATTTATGATTTTACAGTACATAAGCAAATGAACAAGTTCTTAATCAGATGTTTTTGTATATGATGTAATGTAAAGTACATGCCTGTCTGTGTATTTGCATCAACAGGGCAGCTCTCTGATACTGGTGCTAATGGTTGCTTCTGCAGCCATTGGAGGAACTCTTCAGTATGGCTACAACCTCGCCATAATGAATGCCCCAACAATTGTAGGTTTTTTATGTTTCTAATTAAATCCCATTAAATCCTCCATCTTCATGAAGGGTATAATGTTCGGGTTTTATTAATATTGTTTTAGAGAAGTGTTGATTCAAATGTATGATCATTTTGGAGGATGTAGTTTGTGGTGCATTTGAATTGGACTGTGTTATGCTGACAAGTGTTTCTATTATTTGGTCCACTCGATTTATATTAATGAAGGCAGGATCAATAACAGAAACATCCCTTTGCATAATGTAATACAGTTCAATGGCACCACAAACTACATCCTCAAAAAATGATCATACAGTTGTATTAGAGTTGAAAAGTTATTTGTCGGCGTACCTAATAAACTGCCAGCTGAGCGTACACTAAGACTGGCATTGTGGTAAATGAATACCATATGTGTCTATATCTCTATATATGTGTTTTGTGTTCCCTGCACGAGCTGCACAGACCAGCATCAGTATTATTTCATATTTGGGTCACAGTTTTGGCACAAACAAGAATTAGGCTACTTGTGTCAGTGATTAGTCATTCTCACTGTAACATATCCAGTTTGATTGTGCTGTGGAAACTTATTCTGGATGCAGGATCTTTTCTCAGTGTTTAATGAAACCAACAGCAGCTTCACTGACAAATAAAGAGCACAAACTTCCACCAACAACATACAATCCTGCACCTTGCCAAAAGAAGCAGATATTTTATTCTGATCATTCAGAATAATAGTGAAAATGATTTGTTAATGCTGCAGATCAAGCCTCTCTTTCCATTAATAGAATAAATTTATCAATAAATCATTATATTAAAATCACCAAACGGTAGAGATCACAGTGTGCGTCACCACCAAGATGTAAACAGACTAAGAAAGTAATAAAAAACTCCTCTAGCAGAGGTAATCATTGTCAATTTCAATTGCTGCTCTGTTTGGCTGTGAGTGCACATTTAGTGACCTCAGTGAGAGTTTAACAGCAAACTGTCTTGTCCTTTCTCACAGTTCATTCAAACCTTCATCAATGAGACATTCCTCGAGCGCTGGGACATCCAGTTGGAGGACTACCAGGTGACGCTGGTCTGGACAATCATTGTCTCCATCTTCTCATTAGGGGGCTTTGCCGGGGCTCTTATTGCAGGACCTATGACCATACGCTTCGGAAGGTAATATAAGACGCTGCGTCATGCTGCATGTATGTAAATATAAGAATGCACAAGTGCAGAAGGTTAGAAATCGAGATTTTCATTGCAGCATGTAGAGAGGCAATGATCAACTCATTGATGCACACATGTATAAATGAATATATAGATTGTTCATTTACATTGTATACACCCACCTGACCTTTTAGTGAATTGAGTTTTTGATCATTTACTGTTCTGGCCCGGCTCTCAGAACAAAGCAAATAAGGGAAGACACATGGATGTAACTAAAACAAATGAGTTTTATTTAACATATATCAGTTTTTACTTAACTAAGATAACAAAAATGGCAATTTCAACAAATAAGACTGGCAGGTGGAACTCACACATATGCAGAAAACAATGCTAGAACACTGTTTTTAAAGGATCATTCTGTTTTTGTTCTACTTTTTTCTTATTGTCAACAAATCCCCCCAAAAAAGACTAAAACCAATTATTTGTTTGTTCATCTCTCAGGACTTTCTGACTTCCTTTACACTGTGTTTGGTCCACTGGT